CTCCAGCGATTCATGAATTGAATGATGACTAGTTCGGAAAAATAAGCGAAACGAAGCAGTGAGTCAGCCGGTGAGGAAGGGAGGGCGCATTCCAGGATGCCCTATTCCTCCCTTTCTCGCTTCTGTGGGCAATACTTCGCAAACTTCAACTGTTTCCAGTTCCATCGTCCAGAGCGCACAGTTGGATCATATTCGCACTGGAATTTTTCATTGCCCACCGTTTTTCCGCGGTACGGGTGCGCGTTTGCCCGATTTACTGCATTAGGCACACTTCTATGATCACTAAGCCTATATGTTTTCCATGTTGTTAGATCTGTGCGGGCAAGTGATGGCAGGAGTAGTTATGGTGGTTTTCTTTCTCGTCTAAAATTGGCCGGGCATCGTGCCATTAATCCGAAACCCACGAGTGAGGGATTACCGTTGTCTGTCAAATGGTTATGAGCGAGAATTGCTGGTAAAAGTGACCGCGAAAGCAGCTTGTAGTCTTCCGCCTAATCCAGGAACTAGACCGAATGCCCACTAGGAAAAAAGCCTGCGTGCGACTCACTGATTCATCCTGAGGACAGATTGATATTGTATTTTGGGCACATGTGAGCCTCATAGCGATTCCCAAAATTTGCTTGGATGGGCCTGACTGCTATCAACAAATGAGCTGCTACTCGAGTAATAAAGAGGATCCGTTTCCTTCGAGAGGGCAGTGTGGTGAGAATGACTTTCAGCTGAGTGTGTTAGATTATTGTACCAGATTGGGGAAATTTATAACTTCTTGGAGGATGAAGATTTCAGGGACGCCGCACAAATTGACCCGCTTGCCCACATCATTCATGTTTACTGAGGGTACTAGCAACTCCGGCACTGTAGAGCGTCTGGTTCCTCCTAACTGAGGTACGGTGAATGTGGCGAGATCACCACTTTATCGATATATTCTCTATTTGCGTGACAGCGCTTCTTTTGAAGAGAATTGTTGCGTATCCGGTGATGATATTCGTGTGGAGAAAGTATATGCTGGGGCAGAAGATGCCATATCGTAATCCAGCTGATGCATATGTTTTACTCATCCATCCGAACGCCACTAATGCATTTCTGCAACGCATTCCTCTCCTCCCTTCCTTTCCCCATTCCTCATCCCTCTCCCTCCCGTCCCCCTAAGTAACGCAGTATACTAGCAGAGCCCAAAAAATGTGAAAGGTGCATAAGTGCTATGCTGATTGATAAAATGTTCAATGGAGGACAGTTGTGTGTACGTGTATGTCGTAAATGATTGCACGCGGTTGCTAGCAAATAATACTCCAGAACTGATAAGTGGACAATGCCCAAAGGAGACCTTCCCAACCGCTCTGGGAGAATACGAATCTGTCTTCAGGATTAATGAACAGAGGTATTAAACACGATACACATAAAAAAATATAAAATTATACTAAAAAATAGGATGAACAGGAATGTTTCTGCCCATTAAGTCACATTCCTATTCAGCGCCAATGATTGTTCAAGTTTTTATTATTCACTGAAATTTTTAACAGTATCTTTTGGCCTCTCAACTCGATTTTCTTCCTTCACGTTTAAACTTATTGATCAGGCACTGCTGTTTCATTTTAGGATTTTTTTTGTCGGTCTGGCGCTATGTGATGGATGCGAATTCGCTAGCAGTAGAAATTGCCAGCTCAAGTATAAGCTGAAATGCTTCTATTCATTTGCTGACTTTTTCTTTCGTTTTAGTTATCTCTTAACGAATAATCGACAAATTTATTGCGCTTTATCACTATCAGATTAAACAGATGCTTTGGGTTCTCTTTCTTGCTGCCTTAACCCTCTCTCGGCCGATCGTTCCTTTCTTACTGGTTCTTACCAATCTCGATCTAGTCATTTTTTGATCATTTTCCTAAAAGCGCCTTTGCCTGCAGCATGATTTTTTAGTACAGAAAATAACTCATATAGCTTGAAACGTAAGAAGGGAGGCGGAGATGATAGGAAGTGAAAAGACAGCAGGAGTGTTTCGATTTAAAAATTCTGAAGTTTCAATTTAAAATACTTTTTACTCTTACATTTCCCTTTATCAAAGAGTTTTGTGTAGTTTTTTGTGTCCTCATTGGTATGCATTACTTTTATAACTGATGGCATCGTTCGCCTGGTAATTTTTGAAGGCAGAGGGAGGGGAACGTGGTAAGTGGAAGCGACAGGAATGGGGAGGGAAGGAGTGTAGGAGGACTTGAAGGTTTTTCAAATTCCATTACATTATTAGCACCCCCTCGCTGGAATGATCGAAAAGTGACGCCAAAATTAGCTTTCTTGTAGCGGTTTCATAGCACGGCTAAAGCCTACGAATGACGCTATCATTAAATTAACCAGTGCTGAGGTCATCCGCCCAGTAAATTGGCAGTATCTGCGAGGGCTCCATCATAACCCATGATTAGCAGTTAGCGTCGTTGATGTCCTGTGCAACGATAGCTTAATTAGCAGGAGATGTACCATTATGCCAAACTGCAAACAAATGATGAGCGTTCTTTTCAACGAATGCCAAGACCGTCCAGGCAATTGTGCTGGTATCTCAAGTTAGCGATTTTCTGGGATGTCCCCATCCTCCGGGCATAATTGTGCTAAACTCTTTGATCCTGGGCTGCATATCTCCAGTTAGTATTCATCACCTGTTCGATGTATGTGCGCTACTTCTTCGGGACCACCGGAGTGGCTGTTATCGTTCTCGCGAGCATCACTTACTAGTGCGCTTTATTCGTCTGGGAACGGCAAAACGAATAATTGGCCTAAATGCCCTCAGCTGGCTTTTGTGATGGAGCTATTGACAGCCCTTCTCAGAATATGATTGCTGTTAGCAATCTGCCATTATTTGGATCTTTTCGAAGCCTTCAACTCTCAGAGCAAGAGAGAGTAATACAAATGAAATTTTAACTGTGATTTGCTTTAATTCATAAGGGGCGATATGTAAAGAAAATTCATTCTTGAAATTTTTTAACATCCAGAAACTAGCAGAAGGCCAAAAATCAGCAGTTTGTTGCCATATCTGCAAGGAGTTGTGCTTCTTGCATTCAGCAATCATAAGCGAAAATGTTTCTCCCGGCAGAATGGTCTTTATTATCTAAGACTACAGCGATGACCATGACAGCGAGAAGATATTGGTACTGAAGGCAGCAACGGCATAGAACAAAGTAACGATGATGGCAATGGTCGTAAAAAAGACGATGATGAGTAATCCTCGGGAAATACGATAAATGTATATTTCAAAATTTATTACTTATTATACGTCTTGTGGCAACGTTTAAGACAAGGCGGTGATGCCCATTACCCACGCACAACGGCATCGACTAAAGTCAAGTGATTTTTATGCGTTTTTGCCGTGCAGCGCTAGAGCGCTGCAACAGGCGGCAAAAACGCATATTGCGACGACCCTGTCTGTGTGTGTGTGTGTATC